TTAGCACAGCTGAGACCAGCTGGCATTTCCACAAAGGGCTTTACTAAATACCAAGGAAGAACAAAAGGAAAATAATTACAGAAAACACGAAAAACCCAGCCCCAGCTGCCAAGTTCCCAAAATACAGGGTACCATTCCTTTGGTGACAGCACATAGCCCAAGAGGCCTGGGACAAGGCCTCAGGCACTTTGTCTGGTTCTCCGTGTTCCCAGCCCTGTGGTGGGTGCCATCTTGCTTCCCACCCTGGGAACCCTTTGGTCACCCATGGGCTCATCTCTGGCCCCCTCCTATTCAGCCCCACCCCAGGCCTCCCACTGGGCTTTGGGCTCCCTAAAGGCAAGAGCCTTGTCCCCTAGAAGCTAGCAAGTCCTCGGTGATTGTACAGCAATGAGAGATGACACTTCCACACTTGCCCCTGCTCTAGAGACATCTACCCACAGTGAAACATCTTGAGCACAGTGTATGACAGATCCCTTGGCAGACTGGGGACATCTTCCCTGTGGGAAGAGGAGCCTTGGAGGGTTGGGCTGGTTCACACTGATTAAGCCCCTACTGTATGTATGCTCTACTACGCTATGCTAGAGCGATATGCTAGGGAAACACAGACATACAACAGATCCTATTTGCTCTTACAAATCTTATGGTCTTTGACGCAAGTAGACTCATAACAGGACAGTGGCAGCACTGGTGTTGGGTGCCACTATGGAGAGGCAATCCAGGTGCTGCGTAACTTGAATGAGGGAAGCTGTAGGATGATGCTTGGAATAGACCTCAGGAAGAGGGCTCTGGGTCAGAGCTGGGTGACCCAAGAGCAGGAGGACAAGGTGCATTTCCTGGGCCATCATGTCACCTCTGAGGGAAGTGTCATCTAGGAAGGAAGCTGTAGGATGGTGCTTGGAATAGGCCTCAGGGAAAGGTTAGGGGCCAGTGGCCCCAGATCAGAAGGACAAGGAGCATTTCCTGGGATGGCACCTTTCACAGGCAGAACTGAACTGTCACCACAGGGAAAGAGAGAACATAGGAGAAGAAATGGTCATGAGGAGAAGGCTAGAACCAAAGGAGAAAACAAGTCAAAGAGGTGTTTGTGTGAGACAGTACCTCACTGTGTAGCCCAGGTAGCTTGCTATCCCCCTGCCTCAGTCTACCTAGTATTGGCACGAAAAGCCAGCACTACCAAGTCTAGCTGAATCAGGAAGCTTTATGTCAAAAAATGGAGATGGGACAGGACAGGCATTTCAGAGAAAGACTAGGGTGGGCAGCTCTGAGCTTGGGGGGCCAGGGACTGGCCTGTGACTTGGGGAATCACACATTTACCCAGCACCCTGGGAAGGTTAGCTCCTCAGACTGGGACCTTCCCCCTCCTACACACTATCTTCAGCACCACCAGGTCAACGTAAGGGGTGGGAGAAATTAAGACCTACTTTATGGAATTGTGGGCAGAATTCAATGAGTTAAGGTGTTGAAAGCACCAGGTCTGCTTCTTGGCATTTAATAGTTGTTCAATAAATATTAGTTCTCCCTTAAGACAATATGAAAGTAGCTTCTTGGTAAGCAGCTAAGGGCTGAACTGAAGATATAGCCTGGGCCATGCCCTGAGCAGATGGATCTACTTAGAAGATCTCAATGGCAGTGGATGCCAAGATTGTGTGGAGGGCCGGGGGTGGGGGGGACTGGATTGTGACAGACAGAATGGTTGTGTGTACACGTGTGTGCTTTAGTTTGTAAAATTTGTCTATCCATTTGCTCTTGTGAAATTGGCAGAAGATGACTTTTTTATTTTCCTTTTGTCTTATCTGTGCTCTGAAAGACTCTAGGCTATAACTACAGCATTTCTATTTCTCTAATAAGATCCCAAAAATTGAGTTAGAGACCATGCCCAAGAACTACCATTAGCAACAACACACACACACACACACACACACACACACACACACACCACACACAGTGCCTTCACAGTTCTCCATGACCCTATTGAGTAAGCGCTGGCATCATTCCCACTTTGCAGGTGGAAGGAATAGACTTAGAAGATGAAAGCCACAGTTTGAAGTTAGTTATGGGTTGTCCAGAAGCAGGGCCACAGTACATGGGAGCAGAGACACCAGTTCACCTCCCCATAAAGGAGATGAGGATCATTAGGCTATAGGCTGTGGAGGTTTTGATGTCTTCCTGGTTTCTGCCACCTTACCCAAAAAGCTGCATTTAGAAGGGTGTGGGGGCTAGGGACTGGGTGGGGGGTGGGGGGTGGGGGGGACACAAAACTGGAGGAAATCCAGACATTACCCAAGGAGTCAAGTTCATGCAGGAATGAAGAGGAGTTCTTCAGCATCCACAGCCATCTGTGGGGTGGAAATGTGGAGTGGTCATCCACACTGAATCCCCAGCATCAGCATTTGGGACAAAGCCTATAGCACAACAGGGCTAAAGGAATACATGTCAAATGAATTAATTTGTGAACAAACACATGTGTACACAATGCACACATTCCTATTCAAGCACAATTATAGGCAAATATGCTCAAGATGTGTAGACAAGCATATATAGCACAGCTGGAGGGATGGCTCAGAGGTTAAGATCACTGGCTGCTCTTCCAGAGGTCCTGAGTTCAATTCCCAGCAACCACATGGTGGCTCACAACCATCTATAATGAGATCTGGTGCCCTCTTCTGGCCTGCAGGCACACATGCAGACAGAAAGCTGTATATACATAATAAATAAATAAATCTAAAAAACAAAACAAAACAAAAACACACACCTGGGCTTGTGACATGCATCAACAGATAAGAGCACTTGTCAGCAAATCTGACAACCTGAGTTTGATCCCAGGAAGCTACACATGTCGGAAGGAGAGAGCCAACCAACTCTGACCACTCCCATGCACATGTGCACCATAGCAACACACACACACACACACACACACACACATATTTTTTAGTGCACCATACACACTTGTGCCCACATCCTCAACCCCATTTGGGAAGAGGCACACTGAAATGTCTGTGGGAACACAAAATGTAAGCAAGCATGTATCACAAGGGTCCGCAGCATCCTCACCCCCATCCACGTGTGACCCTGCACCATGCTCTGGAGCCAGGAAGACAATCTGCCTGATGTACAGTCCCAGCATGTTAGAGCTTGTCAGAATGTTCTTTGCAGCCCCCGCTTAGCTGGCCAGTGACCGGCCCCTGGCTCCTGGGCTCAGAGCCTGCCAGACAGAGAGGCAGCATCTCTGGCAGCCCCTTGTGGGTGGGCAGCAAGCCACAGACGCAGAGGTCACTGGGGGTGAGATTCAGGACTGCCCTGGCCTCCCTGCCTCTGAATGGAATGTGATCCCAAAGCCACCTCCCAGGCCCATCTCCTCCCCCACAGCCACCCACCAACTTCTGACTCTGAACCCTGCCAGGTTTTTGCGGTCTACAAGCTAGTCACAGAGGTTTGTGAGGGTGGCAGTGATGAAGAACGACGGGAGAGCAAAGGAGGTTACCACAAAATCCCAGACATGCATGGTCACACTTTGATGCCCAGGTATTCACACACACAGGACACACATTGGCAGGTATACACTTACTATCCTATCAAAACGCGCACACACACACACACACACACACACACACACACACACACACACACACTTCTAAACATCAGACATCTTCAGAGCCACAGTGCGCGCACGCGCACACAACACACACAGAGCGAGAGAGAGAGAGAGAGAGAGAGAGAGAGAGAGAGAGAGAGAGAGAGACCCAAAGTCCCAGATCTGACACACAGAGTCATACTGGATGTTCAGTGGGTAACATGTACACACAGTTTCATGGTTACACACAAACGCCGGTGAAGACACCGCCTCCTTTCAGTACATCCCTGCTGCTCTTACCACTTCCTCGTCTGCTTGGGCTCAGGAGGTGATACCAGGCTAATTTCATTCCCTACCCTTAGTAGGTTGGCCTGGCCTGACAGGAGGAAGTGGTGCTGGACCTAGGTCTAGCCAGGTGCCCTGGGGTGTTTCCTGTGTGCTGCCCACAGCTGGGCTGCCCTGTGCCTACGGACGGACGAGTTCAGGTAGTAGATGGGATAGAAGGACGGTTCTGGAGGCACGTAGCTTGCTAGCTTTCTCTGCCAGATCCCTGTCCACGCAGGCACATGCCCGCGGGCAGCACACTCTTCCCTAGTGTGAATATGAACATTGTTCAGCATTTGCAGGTGGAGCCCTCTCATAGGATCATGTTCTTAGTCTATAAAATGGGGTTAGTAATCCTTTCACCCCCTCCCCCGCGGGGTTGCAGGCATGGCATGTACTGGTCTTGAAGGGTCACGGCAAGACAGATGCTGCCTTCTTAAAGTACTCTGCCATCTCCATGGCAGATGCTGGACGTCAGCACCTGAAGGTTCCCACCGAAGGTGGCACCAGAAGAGCCAGGTGCAACCCTGGACGTCGCGGCGGGCTGATTCCGGAGCAAACTAGCTCCAGGCTCGGAGGGGACTAGCGATCTGCGCGGGCAGCGCCCCTTCCGCGCCCTGCGGGGTCACGCGCACTCAGGTCTCACCGCCAACCCGCTCTCAGCGCTCCGGGGCCGCTCCTGGGGCCTCGGGGCTCAGTGGGCGGGGCAGGCTGCAGCCACGCCCCATGCACAGCCTTGAAAACCAGCGGCCGGCCGACTAGCTTCAGTTCATAGGCGAGCTGCAGTCTGAGCAGGAAACTGCATCTTCAGACTTTCGGCTCAGCCACGAGAGGAGCTAGGGTCACCGGACGCCCAAGACCCTTTCACACCGATCAGATTCGCCGGGCCAATTCCCCACCAGTTTCCTCAGTCATAGCCTTACCTGTGAGCTTGGACTTTGCCGGCTTCCTGTGGATGCTCACTCAAGCTGACCGCAGAGACCTAGGACTGCAGTGAGTGGGACACCGAGCCCCTCACAGCTCTCCTCCCCTATCAGCGTCTCCCCCAAGGGGATGAGCATGGTGATTGGACCTTGAAGAACCCTGGCTCTGGACGTCTGAGAAGATGTTGGCCATGAAGCTGTTCACTTGCTTCTTGCAAGTCCTGGCTGGGTTGGCCGTGCATTCCCAGGTAAGGACCTGGCCTGGCTTCTCTTGACCTTCTCATCCCAGCCATAGCAACGGGGGCTACAGTCTGAAATTACAGACCCACTCCAGAAAGCAGCTCCCAGGGAATGTCCACATATTTCCCAGGGGCTGGTCTGGACCTCAGGGAGGAGACCTCTGGCTGGGCAGTCCCCAACCCATGGGGGCTGTCTTGGTGGGGGCAGGGAAGCCACAGGGAATGAGGGAGGTTTCCTGTCTGGCCCCTGGAGCCCAAGTGGCTTTGCTAAAAGCATCCGTCCACTAATCCCAGTCAGTTCCCTGGCCTTGTGGTCAGGGTTGAGGCCCCATGACCAACCAGGCACCCTCAGGACCTCTGACCTGGCCTAGTGGGGAAGAAGCTAGCTAAAGAAGTTTGTTGTGGCGAGGTGAGGCCCTTCCCCCACCAGCTGAGCAAGGGGATCTTGGGTGGGCTTCAGATATGACAAGGGATCTTGCCATGCCCTTTCCTCCTGGTGGGTGGCAGAAGGTCCTGAGTGCAGGGCCTGGGGAAGTGAGCACGGCCCTTTTCCCAGGAGCTGGGTGAGTCTGGCTGGGAGCCAGATTGGGCAGCAAAATCCTGACAAAGCCAATGCATTCCCTTCCTGCTGCCCTGCCCCTGCACTGCCCACTGCCCCGGGAGTACTCAGCTCCAGCCCAGCAGCCGATGGGTTGTGCAGTCCCCTTGCTGAGCAGCCAGGCCATCAGCCTGCTTGCTGCAGTGTTAGCCAGAGGTGTAACGTTACTGGCAGGCAGCACCAGCTCATGGCGCCGCCTGCTCCAGCCCCTGAGTTCCCACCAGCTGATCACCTCCCCCTGGGCTCTGGCACCCAGCCAAGGCGGGCTGTAGAAGGCCCAGCAGGGCTGGCCTGGGGGCTGGGTAGAAGAGAGACCCCACAGGATTATAAGCACTTTGGAACACGAGAAGCCTCCCCAAACCTCTAGTCTCCTGCCATTTTCCAAATGAGGAGACTGAGGCAAGGGGGTCAGGTGGTTTTCAGTGGCACAAGAGGCAGCTCTGTGACAGACCAGAGTGTGTGCAGGCGGTAGGGAGGAGCTCAGGGTGGACTCAAAGAGCAGAGCCCCCCAAGGAGATGCTCCTTCCTCATGGCTGCACCTTTGTGTCCACTGCAGGGGACCCTGTCTGCTGGGAACAACTCAACAGAAGTGGAAGGTAAGTCAGCCAGGCCAGCTAAGAAAGCTGAGCCCCTCTCTTCTTTCCTAACGAGCCCCCTCAGTGAAGGGATTGATCTGAAGGGTGGGAGCAGGCCAATAGTGATCTGGGGAGGGTCTGAAAGCTAGACAGGCTGGCTGAAGCCCAAGTGTCCACCTCTCAGGACCCAGAAACCTAGAGAAGTGTGATCATGGGTTAGTGGCGCCAGGCACACAGAAAGCAGGACAGGATAGCCAGGGTTCATCCAGCTGGCTCAGACCCCTGCCCAGCATGCTGTACGGGTGCAGATGGAGTCTTAGTGGATGGGATTGGTGTTGAGTGCCAGAGGCCAGACTGGAGTTTGGGAGCTGGGTGTAGTAGGCAAGCAGTCAAGGGGCTTGGTCAGGACGAAGAGTCCTCCAATATCCCAACCCTGGTGGAGCTGTGCGGCTCTGACCAGGCCTTTCCATTGATTACAAACAGGCGGGCTGTGTCACACCCTCCCTGGCCCTTTCACTCTCTGCCCTGGGTTGTGTCAAGACATAATCTTCAAAGGGCAGTAGGACCTTTGCCAAAGAGACATGCATGCAGAAGGCAAGGGACTCATGCCAGGTCCTTCCTCCTTCACCCTTCCTGCCTTTCTGAGACATGGAGGATGGTCACATATTGCTGAGGCTTCCAACAGAACCGTGGCAGAAGGGATGATGTACTCACTTACACAGATAATAGCTGAATTGTTGTCTGGGGCAGGGAAGACCCTCCGCTGGCCTGCCCACTTGTCTATCCACCAGTCCCTTGGGAGCACCCTGCCCCCTGACTCTCCGTGCTCTCACACCTGAAGCCTGGACCACTGAATGGGTGAGAGTAGAAGCTTCCTCAGCGTCGTGGACTTGCCTATTTTCTGAACTCTCTGGAACTGGCACAGTATCATTCTCTCTGGGGTTTGAGGAGGGTCTCACCTCTCCCCCCAACATCATATCCCTTATAGATGATTTTAGTATGTAGATCAGGCACCCACTTCCAAAGAGGTCTCAGCCTCCAGCCTCTGTTTCCTCATCTGTGAAATGGTAGAGTTAGAGAAGTACCTGACATCAAAGACTCTTTTCCCAAGGCTGTAAGATTCTGAGTCCTTAGAAGAGGCATGAGTGTATATATTTCCGAGGATCCCGATGAGACGGGCTGGAGGTATAGATTCAGAGTGTAGGCCAGCTTACCTGTAATGCTAACAAGCAAAGGGGCTCTGCATTGTGGCCAAGGAAACACCAGCTGTTAAAATCTGACATTACTACCCCCTCCCGCTAGTGCCAGAGTCAGAGGCAGCACAGTGCAGCCGTGGGCGCTGATTTCCACCGCTGTTCTTCCTGGTCCCAGCAGTGGGTGTGTGCTGTTACTTGGCCTGACCATAGGTTGTGTGGTAGGAAGGTTTCACAAATGAAGAATCTGAGGCTCAGAGGAGCCCTGGGGATCAGTCAAATCTCTAGGCGCTCTTCAGCGTAGCTGGCAGAGCCCGCGTACTCAGCCCCAGGCCTCCCAGCAGCGCAGGAGCTGAGCAGGCATGAGTGGAGTGTCCCTTGTGGCAGGCTGGCTGGCTGCCTTGCCAGTGAGGAGGACACCAGCTAGGCTCAGGCTGGTGGCCAGTGGCTACCGCCGAGGCCTTTCCAGAAGCTTGCCATCAGGCCTAGACAGTGTTCTTGGAGTCCTTCCATTCTGGTTAGTATGCCCCTGGGGACAGATGGCTGGGCTGCCCTGCCCGCTCACAGGTAGCTGAGGAGCCCATTCTGACCCCAAAAGAGGCTCTCAGAGGAGGGCCCCATCCTGGCAGGAGAAGTCTCCCATTCCTCTCACTACCCACTTCCTGTCTAGAACAGCTTTGGGGTTAGTGGAAGGGCTCTTGGGAGTAATGGAGCACAAGTCTTCCCTGAGGGGCACACCACACATCTGGGAGCAACTGATGTCTGTGCTTCCCCTACCAGCCACTCCCCAGGCCTTTCCTTTTTTTTTTTTTTGCACACCTGGACAGGGAACTTCCAGGGATGAACTTCTCTATTTCTTAGAGCTTCCAGGTAAACCAGGCCTCTGCTCAGCTCTCTCTTGGCCTTTCTAGTCCACTAAGAAACATGTCTCAGGATTTGGGGGCCTGGAACCCAAATGTTTACATGATAGGATATGGGATAGGCTTTTGTGTGAAGGGTGGTAGAGGGCTAGGCCCCCTTTGCTGCTGTCCCTGCCTAGTGGCTGAAATGTTTGTGCAGCCAACTCTTCTCCCCCTTATTTACGTTTCCACGGCAGAGATTAAATGTTCGTAGTGGCGTAGTGCTCAAGAGGGTTTTAGACTAAACACGAAGCTCACGATGCTGGCAAAAGGGAGGTGGCCTCTGACCCATGTTGCAAAGGCAGGCTTTCCCTGGACTCAGGGGCTGCCTATGAGGAGAGAGGACTCTTTTCCCCACTTAGGTCCAGGGAGAGTGTCTAGTAGCCTGAAAAGGTAGAGTCAGAGAGTCCCCACATCCCCTTCCAGTGCCTGGTCTAGCCCAAGTGCCTTCAAAGCAGGGCAGTGTAGGATGGAACACCAGACACCCAGATAAGTATGGTTTATTGCCTCAGCGGCTGTCCCGCCAACTCCGCATGGATGAACCGCCTCTTGGGTATTTTCCACCAGCCTTGCAGCCTTTCCCGAGGGCCTCTGCTATGTCTGAAGTTTATTTTTCTTCTGAGATTACCCGGAGCCACATATCCTCACAGGATCTGAGGATGGACTTTGGCCCCCTCTGCCTCCTAGGAAGGACCACGGAAGTGAGGGTCTGCTGGGAAAGGCCGCTGAGCTCTGTTAAGGCCAACTTGTAGGTGACCCAGGTCCCAAGTCTCTCATGAGCTGAGGATGGTCATCAGATGTGAGCAGGCTGATCCAGGCCTGGTCTCAAGGCTGACTAGGGCTGCGTTCCAGGGCACTGATTGCAGACAGTCTGTCAGGGTGTACGTGACCTTAGCAACCATCTATTCCCAGGCTGCTTCTCTCTCTCAAACACAGGAAACTGATATACCTGGATTGGCTAAGTGACCTCCCCAAGGTCATATAGACAGTATAGGGACTGCAGCCAGATGGCCTGGCTTTGACTGCTCCCTGAGAGCCTGCACTGGAGCACTGGTACCAGGCTACCCCTGAAGGAACAGCATCTTTGGAGGGATTCCAGATCAGTCCCCCAAAGATACCACCACCACCACCACTACCACCAGGACATCACAGGGGTCGGGAATGTTCCTGGTAATCCTCTGTGAACTGTCACCTCATCAGTCAGCAGTCACTTAGCCTGTGTTTACCGGGGGGCCAGCTCTTGCCCTCCCAGAGTCTCATTTTGGTTCTGGTGGAGATAAGAAGCACCAGTGATGGTAGGGAGGATGTGAGCTGGGGACCCAAGCTCTGCTCCAGAGAGGAGCACTACTCCTGTGGAATGACTGGAGAAGGCTTCGGGGAGGGGTGGGGCTGGATACAGGTCCCCCTTGGACCACATAGACAGGAGCTGGACCATGTGGCTAGGCGTGCTCTTGGCTGCTTGTAGAGGAGTGATGTCAAGTGGGGCGGGACATGGGAAGCTATCTGTAATGGGGTTAGGACAGAGGGCAAGGGAAGGCTAGCCCTTCTTGGTAGGAGAACTGTTTTCAGCAAGTTCCTCAAGGCCCAGGAAGCACCAGGTTGGACTGGAGAAAGACCCAGACTCTTGAGGCATGGCCAGGGCATAGTCCTCAAAGCTCCAAGGAAGACTTGGAACCGGAGAGAAGAACAGAATGAGAACTTGAGAGAGTCTGCTCCATTGGAATTTGAGCCCCAAAGAGCTAAGGGGTCAGCAGGCACCCCAGTGTGGTGGCAGCAATAGTCTAGAGCAGAGGGAGCCCACACAGGGCCAGGAGCTTCCTGGAAGAGCTGAACTTGGTGCAAATAGAACCAGAAGCCAAGGCTGGGCCATCAAGGAGCAGCTGCCTGCTGACCTGATCTGGCCCTTCTGTCTCCCTACAGTGGTGCCCTTCAATGAAGTATGGGGCCGCAGCTACTGCCGGCCAATGGAGAAGCTGGTAGAGATTGTGGATGAGTACCCCGATGAGGTGGCACACATATTCAGCCCATCCTGTGTCCCCCTGACTCGCTGTACCGGCTGCTGCGGTGATGAGAGTCTGCAGTGTGTGCCGATAAAGACAGCCAATATCACCATGCAGGTAGGAAGCTCTCCCAGACCCGTCACCACCTGCCATCGCCCACACCATATCTAGAGCCCACAGAATGTCTAGGAAGTATCCAGGGAAGGACAGATGCAGGCCAAGACCCTGCAATGGGAACCAAACTTCCAAGTCAGTGTCCCTTTGTCCCAGCACAGGGCCTGTCTCCTTGAGCTCCCGTCTAGGCTCTGAGCCCCTCACTGGCTCCTTACTGGTTGCCAACTTTTGACTTCCCACAGATCTTGAAGATCCCCGTCATCAGGGACCAGCATTCCTATGTGGAGATGACATTCTCTCAGGATGTACTCTGCGAATGCAGGTAGGTCCTGTGTGGGCAGCAGGGACAGACTGTGCACTTAGCAAATTCTAAGCCTCAGCAAACCCTCACACGGCCCTTGGGGCAGAAGAGGGGCTGCCACCTGTCCTGCAAGCTGCATTTGTTTCCCTAAGCAAGCAGCCCTGGGGAGATGCCTTTCCATTTTTCTGCACCCTGCCAGCCAGCTTGGCCTGAGGAGCTGGCCTCTGCAGCTGAAGTGCAGCTGCTGGGGTATCACCATAGGGAGGGACCCTGTGCATGTCACACCACCATCCTTTGAGATGAGAGGCACCTGCCACAGGCCTCAGGAATTGAGGCATAGAGACAAAGACATCACAAGCCTGTACTTGACTCTGGACCAGGCTGCCTGCCCACGGGAGGGGGCAAACTGTGCTGAGAAGAGGGCAGAATGAGACCCTCGGAGAGGAAAAGGGACCAGAAAAAGGAGATACAGCGTGTCTTGAGAGTTGCAGCATGATGCTAACTGTCCCCGGGGACCTCTGGCCAATGCTCAGCCTTGCTGTTTGTCCCCGGGGTTCTTGGAACACTGGTTACTGGGAACAGCTGTCTGCTGTGCCATCTAGGTTCAGAAGGAATGAAATAGGTTTGATGCTGCTCTTTGGACAAGGGCACCAGATTAGGGGTTTGGGGCCCAGTCCGGAGCTCTCGAGTGTTTATTCAATGCCCAGTCCGTGACATTCACTGGCCTAGGTGCTTGGGATACGGCCTTGAGTAAGATAGATCAGGTTCATGCCTTGGTGGCCACCTCATCCTCATCACTTGGATGAGGAAAGCCAGGCTCCATGCAGTTCTGTGACCTGCTCAGCTAGTGAGTGTAGAAGAGGGATCTAGGCTTAGACTTAGCCTGTCTCACTCCTGCAACTGCATTTTTCCGGCCCCTTTCTTGGCAGTCACCATATTCGCCATAGCCCCAGTGCTAGCTCCTCTGCCTGGCCCTGCCCAGCTCCCGGGACTACTCTAGCTGCCCTTTTTGAACCTGAGCCCTGGCTCCAGTTGCTCTCCACTATGCCAATATTGGGGGCCTTGACTCAACCTGTTCACATACAGTGAAATAACAATAGCTCAGTCATGAACCACCCCACACACACATTCCACCCCAAGTGGCTGAATGGTGACCTTACCATCTCTAACATGTTTGCCCTCCAAGTCACTCTTAGGGCAAGGTGTGACTGGGGAAAGTGGGCCCACCCAGAACAGCACACACTCAAGGCCCCTGCTGCCCCTCCCATCTGCAACACTGTTCCTGGGAAACACTGAAGCTGTCCCCTTCCATCAGGCCAGGCAACAGGGACACCTTTCTTCTCACTTCTGGGACAACAGCCACGGCCCCAGAAGGCAGAGCTGGGACATGCCTGGTGACTGTGAAGCAGGCTCCCTGCTGTTGCCACGGTGGGGCGGGTGTTGAGCCCAGGCAGGCAGCCTTAGTTGGTGGCCACCATTGCCCTGTCGTCCACAGTCTTGCCCATCATTTACTTTCCTTGAGGGAGCTCCCAGAATGCACCCTGGAAGAAAAGAGGGAAAATGAAAAGAAAGTAAAATAGCAGAAAACAGATCCCAGATTTGATGCCAAGAGGCTAGGGTGAGCAGAAACATGTGATGAAGAGCCCCCAGGGGGAACTCCCGACCTCTCTGGAGGTTGCCAGGACCTAGGTAGGGCAGGAACCCAAGCACAGGGATCTCTGCCACCTCTTTTTTCTCTAGCTCTGTGCTGCCCTCTAGTGGCACTGGTGCAGCTGCGTTACCAGGACTTAGGAACTGTGGGAAGTGGGGAGGGCCGACTTGACGCTTCTGCACCTCTTTCTGTTTCTCTAGGCCTATTCAGGAGAAGACAAAGTCAGAAAGGTAAGCTTACTGACTGGGGCTCCCGGTGAATGTGGGACCTACCAGCCCCTGTCCTAGCGTGAGGAGCTCCAGCTACGTTGTGCTGATGTTTCACTTGTTGCAGGAGGAAAATCAAGGGAAAGAGGAAGAGAGAGAAGCAGAAATCCACAGACTGAGGAACCCCACCTGTGAGTGTGCTGGGGGCCCAGGGCTGGCAGAAAGGCTGGGCCTAAGGGGCGGGGACTGCCCTGGCAGCAAGGGTCAGTGGTCAGGGAGGGGCGAGGTAAAGGTGGGATGAGATCCTGGGGTGAGAACAGGGAATGCCTATCTTTTGAGGTCTAAGGTGCATCCTTTATCTATGTGTGGCCTTAAACAAATCCCTTTCCTTGTAAAATGATGGGACGAGCATCACAGCAAGCATTTGGGCTATTCTGCAGGCATCTGCCAGCACTGCTATGTGCCAAGCACATGGGTGACAGCCACATTCCTTGCTCTTCCAATGCTTACCTTCAGCTACAGTGCCACTTCTGGGTAGCTGGCCACTTCTGAGCAGCCCTAGGGAAGGTGCAGTACTCCCTCTTCTCGCTCACTGGCCAGTGACTCTGTCTTTGGGTTCCTTCCTCTCTCCTCTCTGTTCCTTGCCTGTCCTTGCTTCACACCTAGGGGCAGCAGGCTGGAGTACCAGGCTACAGTGTGGCTGGAAGACGGGGATCAGGGAAGGGACAGTCTCATCTGGTAGCCAAGCCAGCAGGAGTTGACTGTTAAACACACAGAGATGTCAAGTGCCGCCATGCCATTCCCTAGATGTGGGGTTTTCAGGGGTCTCATTCAGGTATCTCCCAAAAGAATTTCAAAAGCTCATGTGCTTCTTGTTTAATTTTAGGCTGGCTGTGAACATTTGCAGGGTTGTTTTAGATAGGATGCTATGTAGCCCAAGTTGGCTTTAAACTGGTAGCAATCCTCCTGCCTCAGCCCCCACCCCCAAGTTCTAGGATTACAGACATGGGCCACTGCCCACTGCCACTTTTTCTTTTTTTAACTTCTAAAATCATATTAACAAACAGTTGGGTTTGGAGGACCTATCCTTCCTTAAGGGGAAAGTGTGACTGTAGCTAGGACAGCAGGTCTCAGGCACTTACTCACACAAAGTTAAAGATAAAGAATATCCAAGAAAGCTGAAAACTGATTTCTTAAAAAATACCGATTTTCAGGGCTGGAGTGATGGCTCAGCGGTTAAGCGCACTGACTGTTCTTCCAGAGGTCCCGAGTTCAATTCCCAGCAACCACATAGTGGCTCACAACCACCTTGAATGAGATCTGGTGCCATCTGCCTGCATGCAGGCAGAAGACTGTATACATAATAAATAAATAAATATATTTTAAAAAAATACCGATTTTGGGAGTGGGTATATAGTGCAACGGGAGGGAGCTTGCCTATCATGTGTAAGACCCTGAGTTCCATCCCCAGAGCCTCAAAACATATTAAAATAATAAAAACAGGCTGAGTGCCTCTTATTCCCAGCACTTGGGAGGCAGCCGCAGGCGGATCTCTGTGAGTTCGAGGCCAGTCTGGCCTACAGAGTGAGTTCCAGGACAGCCAGGGCTGTTGTACAGAGAAACCCTGTTACCAGTGACACTGTTACCAGATTGGCTTCAGATGTCTCTGTCACCTACCAGCTGTGTGTGTGAGATCTTAGGCAAGTTTTCTAAACTCTCTGAACTGCAACTCCTCATTTGTAAGCCAGTGACACCATTGTGGGTTATTGTGAAGAGTGAGTGAGACAGTACTTGGCAGGCATGAAGCCCGGCATCTGAGCAGGTGCTTGGAGAGGGTGGTAGCTGCTTGCTGGCCTGGGTGTGAGCAGGTTTCCAGGGTGCTGCTTCTTCCTGCTGCTCCTTGCCCTCTGTGTCCACCCTCCTCTATAGAAGGGGACCTCATCCTCCATAGTGTCCTGATCTCCCTGACTTGTCTGTGTTTGGTTTCTGACAGGTACGGTGGTGCTGTTCCCTGGAGGTGACCAGCCCCTCAGAGGAGAGACCCCACGCCCAGCTCATATATTTATTGCCGTCACCCTCCCAAATCCCTCCTTGCTGGTACCTACCCTCTATTTATTAGCCAACTCATCCCTGCTGAATGACTCGCTCCCTCCAAGATAAGGGGCATAGAAGGACAGGACCCTCAGGAATTCAGTGCCTTAAACAAAACGTGAGAGAAACAAAGAAGCCAGCCACAGTTCTGTGGGAGCTTCGGCTTGGGAAGAAGCAAGACGTGGACGTGGCCTTGCAAGGAGCAAGCCAGACCCCTAAGGCTCTGGGTCTCCAGGGAACAGGAGAAGGAAATAGAAGGCCCAGGACCTATCCTGGTCCCCAGCTCCACCCAGACAAGCAGATCTGGCCCTGGCTGCATTGAAGACATGTAGAGAGGATCCAACCATGTCCTCCTGCTGCTGAAATCAACTGTTTATCCTGGAGACCGGGACAAGACATTCGGCTCTGGAGAACAGAGCTTGTCTGTGGGCTTTGCCTTTCAGCCTAGAAGTTCACTTTGCCCTTAGCAAAGCCCCACCACCCTGCCTCCTGTCTAGGACATAGACAGAGTGGCTTGGGGCTGAACAGAGGGCAGGCTGGATGAGGGATAATAGACCAATAGGTTGGTGGACTTTCACAGCTGCAAGTCAGGGGCAAGTGTCCTAGTGTTATGGCTACGAAGCACAAGCAGATTCCTGGAGAGTCCTTGCAGCCCACCAGTTGTCTCGGCCTGAACTGTCTAACTGCCAAGCCAGATTCTCTTGAATAAAACATTCTAGTCTGGAACCAACCTGTCTAGGATGTGTGTCTTCCAGAGAGCAGTGGGGAAAAGCAGAGAATGGAGTCAGGGCAGACATGGGATGGTGTGGGAGTGGCAAAGAGCACAATGACAGACTGAAGCCTCTCTCCCTTGTCTCAGAGAGCCTTCTCGGGTTGTGAGGGGGAATGTTACAATGGGTGGCATGTGTTTCCCCTTTGACAGATGGGAGAACTGAGGCCTGAGAAGGCAGAGCGAATGATGCAGAGGCGAGAGTCAGAGGCCAGCCTTTTCCCAGACTGAGTTTCTCTGCATTCACCCTTGGCTATACCTCTCCAGCTTTGACATGTGTTAAAGGAGCCCTGCTACTGTCTCAATGGCCCTGGATGGTCTTCACAGGATATCCCTATAGATATTATTTCAGGGCTGCCCCCGGAGTCTGCCCTGCCCCAAACATCGTCTCTCCTCTAAAAGTTGGCTCCAGCCTCCTCCAAGCCCCATTTCCCAATGCCCGGCCTGGGGCACACATTCTTGATAGCCTATAAGAAGGTCTCCCAGGGTCCTCAGGCCACAGGAGGGTCATCCTGTCCTAGGCTTGCTGAAGCACAGCGTCCTCTCACTGCTTGGTCCTGGATGCCTGCATCAGCTGCCAACTTCTTCCTTTTGCCTCTCAACTTCCTTCACTTTCTTCCAAACAAAAAACAAAAACCATTGTATTTCTTCTTTGAGTCCAGACTGCTTTTTTTTTTTTTTAAATTTATTTATGCAAAGTCCACCAAATCTTCCTGTGCTGGTCCTGGGCCCTTCCCCATGTGTCCAGGGCCAGAGTGTAACCCTTCACATGGGATGGGCTCTCAAAGTCCCTTCTTGCACCAGGGAAAAATACTAATCCACCACCAGTGCAGAGGACTCCTTATTGACATCCATGTTCAGGGGTCTGGATCAGTCTTGTACTGGCCTCCCAGATAGCATCTGGGGTCGATGTGCTCTCCCTTGTTCAGGCCAACTGTTCCTGTGGGTTTCTCCAACCTGGTACAGACCCCTTCGCTCTTCATTCCTCCCTCTCTTCAACTAAATTACCGATTTCAGCTCAGTGTATATCTGTGGATGTCTGTCTCTGCTTCCATCAGCCACTGGATGAGGGCTCTAGTTCCTGGGTCGGTCAGCGGAAAAGCCCAGACCGCTTTCTAACAGACACCCAGCTGCTCCTGACGCATGAGGTGGTGTGAGTATCTTTCTATGCTCTGTGTGCCCATTGAAGAGCCCTACTTTATCTCTTGAGGTTGAAACACACCCTTTTCTGCTTGGGGAGAACGGGGCCTGCCTATAGGTCAGTCGTTCTCAACCTTCCTAATACTGAGACCCTTTAACATAGTTCCTCATAACTGTTGCTACTTTATAACTGTAATCTTGCTACCCACAGGCTGAGGACCACTGCTCCAGGCTTTGGAGGTCATGATGCTGAGCAGGGTAGAAGGGGTTCTGCACCAGTGGCTGCCCTCCACTTGTCCATTCACAGATGCCTGAAGCCCTGGAGGACAGTCCAGCAGTCCGGTCAGTGTGTGCTCCTGGCTAGAGATCAGAGTGTGGGCTGGCCTTAGGGGACTAAGCTAAAGAAATTACTTTCTTGCTTCTCTCTCCATCTGCAGCTGTTGGAAGACATTGTCGCTGGCTATGTTCTCTGAAGAAAGCGCCCCTCCCTTGCTCAGGCCTCTGGCCGGGCCCCGAGGACCCCAACCCCACCCTGTAGCATCTCCAAGCTGTCAGCTCCCACTCAGGCCAGCAACCTCTGCAGTAACCTAGACAGAAACCAGGGCAGTTCCTGGATTAGAAGAAACCTTTGTCCTTGGCCAGGGTGTTCACCACAGGAACAATTAGGAAAAGAACATGATGGTGGGTGCAGCTGACCAAACTGCCAATCCTTTCAGGTCATCTGGGTCCTCAGGGACCTGTGTAATGGGCTTGTCACTCATTGGTGCAAAGCACTCAGTCATGGGTTCTGAGGCGCTGTGGAGACTGGAGCACACATGCCCTTCGCCCTGGGCTCTCATTCCACAGAGCGCTGTGTTAGAGGTTGTAGGTTGTCATTTCAGTTGCTCAAATCGATGGGGCTCTTGAGCACCCCAAATTGTAAAACAAGGAACAATTTGGGGCCAGACCAGAAATACTTGCCTAATAAATTCATTAAGGATAACTTTCGGGGGAGGGGTGAGTTGGTTAAGAGCACAGGCTGCTCTCCCAGAGGACCTGGGTTTGATTTCCAGCACTCATACGTGACAACTCACAACCATCTGTTCTGCAGTTCCAGGCAATCTGACACCCTCTTTCTGGTCTTTTCAGGGACCAGGCACCCATGTGGTACACAGACATATACACAGGCAAAACACTCATATACATTAGATGGATAGATAGATAGATAGATAGATAGATAGATAGATAGATAGATGGGTACATAGAGATGGGAACAGAGACAGGGTTATATTTTAATAGGGCTGGCAAGAGAGCTAGTCAGGCAAAGGTACTTATCTTGAAAACTTTGTGACCAGAGTTCAATCCTTGAACCCCACAGAGGGTAGAAAGAGAGAATTAGCTAATTCATGCGCGCACACGCACACACTAATAACAACAACAACAATAAAATTTGAATGTCTGTAGTTGAAGGTGAGCTGGTGGTGCATGTGGGTAATCCCAATACTCTGGAAACTGAGGCAGGAGGATCGAGAATTCGAGGTCAACCTGAGCTACACAGTAAGATTCTGGCCGGGTATTGGTGGCGCACGCCTTTAATCACAGCACTCCGGAGGCAGAGGCAGGCGGATCTCTGGGAGTTGAGGCCAGCCTGGTCTACAGAGCAAGTGCCAGGATAGGCTCCAAAGCTACACAGAGAAACCCTGTCTCGAAAAACAATAACAAAAAACACAGCAAGATTCTTGGTGACGCACGCCTTTAATCCCAGCACTCGGGAGACAGAGGCAGGCAGATCTCTGTGAGTTCGAGACCAGCCTGGTCTACAAGAGCTAGTTCCAGGACAGCCTCCAAAGCCACAGAGAAACCCTGTCTTGAAAAAAAAAAAAAAAGATTCTGTCAAAACTGTCAAAACTAAACAGAAGGCGGAAAGAAGGATAGAAGGAAGGAAGGGTTTTGCCGCTCCAAAATGCAGCTGTGGAACATTAGAAACGGCCTTGACATTGCTTCAGCTAGAGGTGACCCTTCAGCTCCCCCCCCTCGGCCGAGCTGAGCTGGTCTGCCTTGGCCCACAGCCAGTGGTTCAGCTTTCAAGAGTGCTTCACCTTGGTCAGTTGGAACACTGAGCTGTCATGGTGTTAGCCATCTTGAGGTCACCATGTAGGAAGGAAGCTCAGACCACCGTGGAGGTGAGAAGCAGAGGGAAAGGCTCAGCCAAACCCAAGCTCCTCTGGCTCCAGCCGTCATCTCAGCTGGATGAGGGCTCAGTGGTTAAGAGCACACACTGCTCTTGCACAGGACCTGAGTTCAAGTCCTAAAACCCACCTTGGGTGGCTCACAAACTGCTTGTAATTCCAGGTGATAAGTACACAAGGCCTCTGGCCTCCAGGGCATCAGCACAGGCCCACACATATACAAGTAATTAAAAATAAAGATTATGGGGCTGGATAGAGGGCTCAACAGGAAAGAGCACCATTTTCTCCATTTTCTCATCTCTGCAGGCACCAGGCCACTCACATGGCACACAGACGTACACGAAGGCAAAACATCCATACATGTAAAATAAAATAAATAAATCTTTAAAAAAATGTTTTAAATGGTTTATTTTTATTTTATGTGCATTGGTGTTTTGCCTGCACATAATGTCTGTGTGAGGGTGCCAGATTATCTGGAACTGGAAATACTGACAGTTTTGAACTGCCATGTGGGTGCTGGGAATCAAATCCCAGTCCTTTGCAAAAGCAGCTGGTGCTCTTAACTGCTGAGCCATCTCTCCAGCCCCTAAATAAATCTTTTTAGAGTAAAATACAAGTTATAAAGGAATTTATAGGACTTAGCTGAGGGTCCAGACCTCACAGAGCAAAGACCAACTGTTCCCACCATGTCCTGCTTCCTTTCCCAACTGGTGGGGTCAGTAGACACCATAACAACAGATTGTTTTAGAGCAGTTTGCTCTGCAACAGTAAGTACCCAGAACAGAAAAGTCAAAGAGGCAATGTTCCAGGGAAATACTGTAGACCAGGAGGCCACAGGAAGCCTCATCACGAGGGTACCTATACAGCATTTATGACAATGGTCATTCAGAGACAATGGTGCTCCAAACTCTGATGATATATCAATGATGGGGTTAGGATGGGTCCCATTATGACTGGAGCATGATGGGAAGGGAGGAAGTCAGGAGCCAGAGCCAATAGCTTTACCCTAAAGCAGGTAGCAAATCAAAGTTGGGTATAATTAATGTGACAGGAAACCACCAAAGGGAGTTAAGCTATAGAAGAAATTAACACGCAGCTTTTTTTTTTTTTTTTTTTTTTTGAGACAAGGTCTCAGGCTGGCCTCGAACTCACAGAGATCCACCTGCCTCTGCCTTCCAAGTGCTGGGATTAAAGGTGTGCACCATCACCACCTAGCTACCACGGGGTACCTTTTTGAATGATCACTCTACCTGTCACTTGGAAAATGTTCTCTAGGGACACGAAATTGAGAGGTCACAAATGCTTCCTAGGGTTGGAACAAACCTGGACACAATTATGGTAGATGGTTCTAGTAAGAGGGCCAGGGCACAGAGGGAGGGAGAGATGGAGGGCATTCCTGCCGTGCTGGCTGTCCAGCTGGTTTCTGAGTCTTAGGGCCAGGTGTTTTGGAGTAGACAGTGGTAGAAGACAGTAGACAGTGATGGGGCAAGATATATTTGCATGCAAACACCCTCCCCCCTCCCACTCCCCCATCTGCTAAAGAAAATTCCATTCTAAAGAATTTAGGAAGCTACTGAGTGGCCATAGCTGAGAGACTAGCTGATCTACCTAAGAACCAAAGAGAAGAGGTGAATGAGGAGAGAGGCTGGGAGT